AAGCCCCCCTGCCCCGGGTGGGAGCCCACTGCAGGGGCTACTATCTGGCCGGCTAGCCATTGCAAGACAACCCTGTAGCCCCATCCCCCAAGCCCCAAGGTTCAAAGAGAGGAACTAAACAGGGCCGTCCGGAAGGCAGTCTGTTTTCCCTGCCCCGTGCCTCAAGGCACAAAGACTGTACTCACAGGACCCCTTCAACCCCAAATGATGGGTGTCAGCTGGTGCTCACTGGACCGCAATCTGTATACCACCTAGCAACCTGCCTAAATGAAAGTGACCGACCTAGATTACACCACCCACCCTTCTAAAGACCTGCATCACTGCTGCAGTACAGGGTAGGTGAAAACACCCCTTCCAAGCGCCAATCAGGAAGGGATGAAAAATTCCTACCCAGCCCCTGAAAACCGGGCGACCAGCAAATGCCTGCACTACTAGCAGGGAGAGAGGGTGGGCCTACAACCCTGAGGAGAAGACACAGGGCTGGCTTAAGCCTTCTCGGCCCCACCCCTTCCTGGTGCCCATATATGGTGCTTTTGGCACCAAACTCAGCCTGCCTCATCCAGCTGGGAGGCAAAGGCGCCCCCCCCCCCTACCCACCTGGAACAGCCATGGGCTGTTGAACCGTGTTTCCACCAGCTGCCTGAAGTAGTACAGCCTGACACATCTATACCTCCTTCCTGCTCTTTGTGGAAACTAGACTTTCATGCACAGTGTTAGGAGTAGAGATATCCTCTTCTCTGACCTATATAATGGCATTCTCTACACTCTTTCACTTTCTAGTGATTTAATGCAAAGGTTTCTTACCCGCAATCCAAAATAAAAGAGGAAGAATATATTGAAGAAGAGGTCAATATTAATCGTCCTGTCTTGGAAGGAGAGGCAGAACTGTATGGCACTGTAAGGAGAGGAAGGAAGGAGGATGGATCATTTTGCAGTAAGAGATGTCCATGTAAAATAATTCCATTAGAAGAAGAAGAGGAGGAGGAGGAGGAGGAGGAGGAGGAAATATTGAAGAAGAGGTCAATATTAATCGTCCTGTCTTGGAAGGAGAGGCAGAACTGTATGGCACTGTAAGGAGAGGAAGGAAGGAGGATGGATCATTTTGCAGTAAGAGATGTCCATGTAAAATAATTCCATTAGAAGAAGAAGAGGAGGAGGAGGAGGAGGAGGAGGAGGA